TTTGGGATGCTTTAAGATTTTGAAATGTACAACAGCAATGAAAATCTTAGTTTCTTAAACTTTAAAATTCTGTCACTAGAAATTTGAACCTGGTGCTGCTGAAGTTGAAACCAGCATTCTCACTGTACTCCATATATTCACTCTGGAGGTTTCTAGGCATTTTCCATGCAAAGTCTGACTTTCAAAACTAATCACCTACAGATCACAGTAAACGAGGCAGCTACAAGTTTCTGTACCTTTTAATAATTCCAATTATGGGGTACAAAGCCTTGTATCCAAATTTGCTGATGCCAGAAAGATGGGCAGTACTGTCAGAGGTGGAGATGGAATTGTAACATCACAAAGTGGTATTGAAAGATTAAGCAAATGGTCAAAACCATGGCAAATATTTGCAAAGGTGAAGTCATCCATCCAAGACCTTAAAAGGCTAGGACATTCCAAAATAAAAAGTTAAAGTTCAAAGAGACTCCGAGCAGGGTGTGAGATAGGGGTGCAGTGTCCAGGTACACAATTTGTTAAAATGTCAAGACCAGCAAATAATCAGAAGGACCTTTTGGAATGCCGGCATTTACATTAGGAATACAAGGTAGGTAGAAGTCATTCTTCAGCAATAAGCCCTAGTTAGATCACACCTTAAGCACTATGAATCGTTCTAGACATCACACATAGAAAGGATATATTGGAAGGTCTGCACGGCAGATGTACTGGTTTAGAATGAAATCTGGTCTTCAAGGATTAAGCTATGGGGGAGATGATACAAGATTATATTCCTTGTAAATTAGAAAGTGATCGGGTGATTTGTTCAAAGCTTGAACATTCAAGATCACTGATAGGTAGAGAGAAACATTTGTGCTGTTTGTGGAGCCTAGGAACATAGGAGCAGGAGTAGGCCATTCAGTTCCTCAAACCCGCTGCACCATTCAATTAGATCCTGAATGATCTACCTCAGGTGTCTTCCCCATAGTATTTCCATGTCCCTGATGTCATTAGTCTCCAGAAGTCTATTTATTTCTGCCTTCAAACTTACTCAATGATTGAGCTGCCACAGCTCTGAAACTCAGAGTGAAGAAATATTCCCGACTCATTCCAGTCTTAAATAGCCAACCTTATCTTGAGATTATTTCTCCTGGTTCCAGAGTCACCAGCCACGGGAAACATCCCATCTATATCCACTGTGTAATTTCCTTGAGAATTTTATCAGTTTCAATGAGGTCACCCTTCATTCGTTGACATTCTAAAGAATACAGACCCAGTTTCCTCAACCTCTCCCTCATAAGAAAATCCTATTATCCCAGAGGTAATCTAGTGAACCTTCACTGAACCACAGTGCAAACATATCCTTCTTTGTAAGGGGATCAAAGCTGTACATAGTATTCCAGATGAGATCTCACCAAATCTCTATATAACTACAGCAAGCCATGTTTTGGCTAAATTCCCTTGTGATGAAGGCTAACATACCATTTACCTTCCTAATTGCTTGCTACACTAGCTTTTAGTAACGCATGAACAAGGAACACTTCCAAAATGCTCACTATTTAAGAAATATTCTGTCTTCCTGTTTTTTTCTACAAAAGTGGATAACATCACACTTATTCATTTCCATGCTCGAGCCAAATTCTCTTCACATACACCCAACTCCTCTTGAAACCTTCTTATATCATCCTCACAGGTTACACTTCCACAAAGTTTAGTGTCCTCAGCAAACTTAGGAAACTTACAATAGTTCCCAACATTTAAATCATTGATACAAATTGTAAACAATTTTGAATCTCATACTAAGCCTAGTGGTACCCCATTAGTAACAGCATGTCACCATGCGAGTGACTGAGTGACCTGTTTATTCCTACCTTTTCTCCCTGGCTATTGACCAATTCTCAATGTATGTTAGTATATTACACCCAATCCCATCTGCTCTAAACAGAAAACAACAAATGCTGGAGATTACAGCAGGTTAGACAGCATCCATGGAGAGAGAGCATGCTTACTGTCTCTCCATGGATGCTCTCTGACCTGCTGTGATCTCCAACATTTGTTGTTCTCAGTGCAGATTCCAGCATCTTCAGTAATTTGCTGCCCCATCTGCTTTAATTTTACTTACTTACCTCATCTACTTCCGCTAGTTCACCTCTATCAATGCTAGAAGGAGCAAACAAAACTCCAGCAGGTTTGTCAAACACGATTTCTTTTTCATAACTCTTGTTGACCCGACCTCATGCAGTCATACAGCATGGAAACAGATCCTTCAGTCCATACTGACCATTATCCTAAACTAACCTGCCTGCACTTGGCCCATAACCATCCAAACATTTCTTATTCACGTACCTCTCCAAATGTCTTTTAAATGTTTGATTCTCTTGTCATTATCAAATTGCTTTCTCTTAGAAACACCAAACAGATGCATGTCCAAGGAAGTGGCCCCACTCTGACTATTTTTTATTTCGTTCATTTGGAAGTGCAGCTGAAGTGGTTTTGAAGTTGGATGATCTCTAGTTGCACACAACAACCATCGCAGTTTCTCCCAAGGAACCACAGATTAGAGAATCAAGACCAAACGGGCCAGTGAAGTTGTTAAAACAATAATTCCATAGTACATTTGGAATGTCACCAGGGTTACAAGAGAGGAGCATCATACATTGCAATTTAACAGCATACAACTGGAATGCATTATACATTTACCAAAAGATTTCAGATACTTATCTATTTTAGAACAGTTGAAGAAAATACAAATGCCTAAGTAAACACCAACAAATCACAGGAGGATGAACAATGTAAAACCACCTCCTTAAACATTCATCTGCTTAACACTTCCCAGAGAAAGCAATTTAGTAATAACAAAAGAATCAAACTGACTGTAAATTGCAATATTCCAAAAGAAGAGGCATTTATGATAAGCAAGATGGTGTGGCCCACCAGGCTAAGTGGGGTCAACACAATAAATCTACACAAATGGACAATTTTTAATACTTTAACTGTACAGGACTCTGGTCAAAGCACACCCAAGATATGGTCCAACTCTTCCCATACATTCAAACCCTAGAAACTGCATCCAGAGAAGGACCGACAGGATTGAATCAGACCAGAAAATTTAGCTCTGAGGAAATAATGGAGAAACTAGAGCTTTTTGGGCCAGACTAAAATGTTAACTCCCCTTTCACTGAAACTGTCCAAATGTTGACTGTTTTCAGCATCTTGCGTTTAATTCATGTAAAGAAATTGTGGCACTGTCAACAGTGCCTTAAAATGAGCAAGGAGGATAACTTACTTGAAAAGAGATAACAGAAAGAAATGAAATTACCTGATGTTACCTTTCTTTTCTAAATATGCATTATCACACCCACTACCCAGATTCTAACATTTTCCCAATGACTGATGGGTCAAACTAACAGGACTGTGGTCCCACAATTAAAGCCAGATATTTCAGGAATGAAATTAGGAAATACTTTAACACAGAGGGTGGAATCTTACCCGAGGTAGCTGGAGAGCCACTGGAGACCTCTTTTCGGGAGAGTTGACTGAGCTACAAACCAATCAATCAGGCAGTGCTGGGACACCTATGGGTCATGCTCTAGAATTAAGACCCCAGGGCAGAATTCTTCTAATCAGAGGCCAGAGTCTCCTGGGCTCAAAGGCTGTGGGATGGGGGTCCTGGCTGTTGTGGATGGAGGACAAAGGGAAGAGATTCGTGGGACTGGGGGCAGATGGTTGTCAGGCTGGGGGTTGCGGACAGATGGTGGTAGGGGAGTCAGAAACACATGCAGGAGATGGTGGCTGGCATCTCCTCGCCTGATGGGGTGATAGTGGTGAAGTGGTAATGTCACTGCATTAAGAATCCGGTACCCCATGAAAACGACCTGGAGACACGGGTTCAAATCCCACCATGGCAGATGGTGAAATTCAAATTCAATAAAAATCTGGGTTGGGGCAGTACGGTGGCTCAGTGGTTAGCACTGCTGTTTCACAGCATCAGGGACCCGGGTTCAATTCCAGCCTCAGGTGACTGTATATGTGGAGTTTGTGCATTCTCCCCGTGTCTGCATGGGTTTCCTCCCACAGTCCAAAGATGTGCAGGTTAGGTGGGATTGGCCAAGCTAAATTGCCCGTAGTGTCCAGGGATTTGCAGGCTAGGTGGGTTAGACATGGGAAATGCAGGGTTACAGAGATAAGGTGGTGGGGGTGAGGGATGGGTCTGGGTAGGATGCTCTCCGGAGGGTCTGTGTGGACTGGATGGGTTTAATGGCCTACTTCCACACTGTACGGATTACATAAAAAAGCTGGAATAATTATGACTACTATAAAATGTCATGAAAAAAAATCATCCATTTCGCTAATAGTCTTTAGGGGAGTGCATGTGGCGTCCTTATCTGGTCTGGCCTCCATGTGACTCTAGGCCCACGGAAATATGGCTGACTCTAACCACCCTCTGGGATAAAGGCAATAAATGCTGGCCCAGCCAGCAATGGCCACATCCAATGAACACAGGAAAAGGAAGAACCTCGATCAGGCACTGATGGGCTTTGATTAAGGGGCATCCTCTTCCCAACTCTCCCGAGGTGACAAGGACCCTGCACAGATTGACCTGTCCCACAGTCTGCACAGCAACAGCAATACTTGCAGCTGGTTGTATCCCAGGGCTAGAGGGTGGACACCTTTAATTGGCCACTTACAGGCAGTGGCTAGGGCAGGTGACCACAGCTCTTGCTGGCCCAGAACTTAACAGTGGTGGAGGGTGGGGTTTAGATAGGTCACTATCCCACTTCCATCCATGTGAGGAGAACACTCCACTAACTCCGTGTTAGAAGTTTGGAACTCCCCTCCACAACCAGAGTTGAGGGTTGTATGTGATTTTCTGTCCAATCGCAGTGCAGATTAGAGGTGCTGGAAAATATTCTCGGAGCAGAATTTGCATTTTTAGTTTCATGGTAACTGGAACAAACAGAAAACATTTTCTAAAGACAAACCATCATCCTTTGCCTTCCCACACACTCAATGTCCTCTCTTACCAGGAACATGCCAGGAGTTATGTTATGCCGTTTGACCAGTAACGCTGGGCTTTGTCCTGTGTACTCGTGGGCCGTGCTGATGTTGTACTTTATTAACCGGAACGAATCTTTTTGACACTGATTGGAAACAGGAAATACCATTAGCTTCACTCTACATCTGCACAGTTACCTGCATGAGTTAGATAACTGGACATCCTGGCCTGATAATGTTCTCAACAGCAATGTGCATTTGCGTAGCACCTTTCCAAACAGCTACAGGAAATGGGGCACCAAAGCTTCGGAAACGTGATTGGTTAAAGAGATACGCTTTGAGAATGTCCCTAAAGACAGAGAAGGAAACAGGAGGGAGGAGTCTCCAAAGATGCCGGCCTGGCCAAGCAACCGATGGTAAAGTGAGGGGAGCAGGGTTGCAGGTTACATGAGCCGTGACACATCACCCAGTTACACAGAGCTCGTGGAGTTCAAATCCCACCCACACTGTGTGGAAATGTTGGTGATCTGTTTGACAGCAAAGGGGGCTGACCATAAACTACCTGGTCCAGCCCACAGGTGACTCCAAACACACACAACCTAATTGACACTTCATTAGAAACAGCATCAGCTGTGTCCTCCGATCAGACATAAAGATAAAGAATGGAGAGTGTTTAACCAGCTGGAAAAGATGCGGAGTTATGGCAGCTCCACAAATGCCAGGAGAAGATTTGGAATAGAAACTGGAATCAACAGAGATCTGTGAGGGAGGGGGAGAGAAGGACAAGGAGTGAGGGAGGGGAAGAGAGTGGAGGAAAGAACGGGCTGAGTGGGAATGCAGTTAGGAGTTGATGGGCAGGGCTGAGGAGGGGATGGAGCGATTGGGAAGGAAAGGGTCAGGGTGAGGAAGAGTGAGGAGAGCAGGAGGGGTCAGGAGAGTGAGGGAGGGGAGTGGGTGCGCAGGAGGAGAAAGGAAGAGTTGGGGGGAAGACGTGAGACGGATCGGCGCGAGGTGGGGTGGGAGGAAGGGAATGAGGGGGAGCGGTGTGGGGGTGTGAAAAGGGTTGAGGGTTGAGGGTTGAGGGGTGAAGGGGAGAGGTGCGAGGGGGTGAGTAGTGAGGGGGGCAAGGTGGAAGCGTGTGAGGGCGAGGGAAGGGGGTGAGGGGAAGGGACGTGAGGGGAAGGGAAGGGAAGGGGGATGAAGGGGAGGGGAGGGACTGGAGCAAGGGCAAGCAGTGTGAAGTGGGGGGAAGGGAAGGGGGTGAGGGGGAGGGGTGTAAGCGGGTGAGGGATGAGGGAAGGCATGAGGGGCATTGTCTGCATCTTTCGGCTGTGATGAGGGTGAACACAGAGCTGGCAAAGAATTGGAGTCCGCTTGCTATGCTGTTGGTTTACCAGACCAGGCCATCCCTGAGCCCCATTTCTGGAGGAGGAATATATCTTTTGCAGAGGGGTGTGTGGGGGTGGTATTGGTAAGATTCACAGCCTACAACAGCAGGGAACTAATCCACCATCTTTAAAACTCGTGGTAAGCCTGTTGGTGGAGTCTGACTGTGCTGTACCTCTCAAACTACCATCCCCATATCCCTTGACATCATTATGATTACAAATCAATAAGTTTCTGTCTCAAACTTACTCAGTGATTGAACCTTCACAACCTCTTGATTCCAAAGATTCAGTCCCCTCTAAGGGAAGAAATTCCTCCACATTTCAGTCTTAAACACTTTCCCCCACCTTATTCTGAAACTGTGAGCTGTGTTTCTAGATATCCAGCCCCCGGTGGGGGTGTAGATTGTGGGGGAAAGAATCCTTCCTGTATGTCTCAATGAGATCATCGCTTACTTTAAACTGTAGAGAATACCAAAACATGATGTTGGACACGGTCACTGTGTAAAAAGGGAAAGCCAGCTTTCATTCATATAATTTCACAGGGCAGCTTCCTGCTGAAGTATGGGTGCACAATGTCAGTAGATTCGTGAAAAGAGTGGTCAGTCTTTGACTGACTAAAATAATGGGGTTTGGGCTGAAAGGTGGGATTTCTGTGAAGGGAGAACAAAGACAGCGGTCCCTCCCAGAACGTTTTTCATTCCCCAATCCCCTTTCTCCAAGCCTTCCTTATCCCCAGTCCAGTTTCCCCCCAAAACCCCCCTCACTTCTCCACATTTCTCCCTCCTCTCCCCTTCCCATCACCCCTGCTACTTTCCCACCCCTCCTCTACTCCCCTGCCCCTTCCATCCCTCATCTCTTTCACTGACACCTCACCTGCCCCTTTCTTCTGAACCATCTCACTGTAACCTCCCTCCCTGCCCTAATGTCTGATTCCTGTTCTCCCTGACCTTTAGCCTTTCTTTCAACCAATCCCATTCTGTTTGATAACTCATGAGTAAACAATTATGGGACCAAGTCAAGGAATTTGAAATGCATTGCATTAAAAACAGGAGCTCCTTTACTGAAATGATTAACTCATTAACTACTGGGACGGCTTCATGTTGTTGTGTGATCCTTCTTTGTGTTGACTGGTTACCATCTAAAGAGAATGGAGGGGGGAAGGATCACTCTGGAATGCTGAAGGCTCTTCTTACAAAACAAACAAAAGTAGTTATCTTCCTTAGAGATAGCAAGAACTGCAGATGCTGGAGTCAGAGACAACACAGTTTGGAACTGGAGGAACACAGCATATCACCCCCACCAAACTCCACATCCAACATATCATTCTCTGCCACTTCCGCCACCTACATATCCGGCCCCATAACCAAAGAGATATTTCCCTCCCCACTCCTATCTGCCTTTCATAGGGACCACTCTCTCTGCGACTCCCTCATCTGCTCCACACTCCCCACTAGCCCCACCACCCCTGGCACCTTTCCCTACAACCGCAGGAAGTGCTACACCTGCCCCTACACCACCCCCCTCACTTCCATTCAAGGTACAAAACAAACCTTCCACATTAGACAGGGTTCACCTGTACATCCATCAACTTGCTCAACTGTATCCGCTGCTCCCGATGTGGCCTCCTGTACATCAGTGAGTCCAAGCGTAGACTCGGAGACCGTTTTGTAGAACATCTGTGCTCTGTATGCAACAAAAGACAACGCCTTCCGATCACGAATCATTTTCAACTCCCCCTCCCACTCCCTGGGTGACATGTCCATGACACCACTGCAAACTGGAGGAGCAACACCTCATATTCCGCCTTGGGAGCCTACAGCCCGATGGCCTGAACATGGAATTCACCGGTTTTAAAAGCTCCCCACCCCCTGGCCTCATCCCATGACCAACCCTCCCTCTCATTCCCGCCTCCTTGACCTGACACAACCTGTCCATCTTCTCTCCCGCCTATCCGCCCCACCTACCTCACTGACCAATCCCCACCACTCTCTACCTGCACTCACCTATCACCATCCCATCTACCTTCCCCAGCACACCCCCTCCTCCCTCTATTTATTTCCCAGCTCCCGTCCCCCTTCCCATTTCTGAAGAAGGGTCCCAACCCGAAACATCAACTTTCCTGCTCCCCTGATGCTGCCTGGCCTGCTATGTTCCTCCAGCTCCACACTGTGTTGTCTCTGGTTATCTTCCTTCTCCATTTCAATATATTTGACCTTCCCAAGGCCAGAGGTGAGAGAAGATGATTGACTGACTTGCAAAAATAAAATCATAACCACATTCATGGGAGGCCAACAAGATCATTATTGTGGTTCCAGAAGGAAATTTAAGGGACTGTTAGATGAATTAATTAGGCAGAAAGGAATAGAAAGTTTATCGTTAAGACTGGGGGAAACCTCATGTGAAACAGAAACTCTAATTTAGATTGGTTGGGATTTTTCTGGGCTCTAACTCTTGCCTGCGTTTTAACAGATAGTTGCCCACGTTTTGTAAGCTTGATATGCTGTCTCGGCCGGAGAAAGTTGCATATCATATAGGAGTGGGACAGGCCACCTGAAGCCTCCTATAATTTCACCCTTCACAGAGAAACTGTCACGCCCCTACTCCTGTTCAATGTCCCAACACCATGATGAGTGACGGAAACCCCTTTGTAGCTCGGTGTGCAGCGTTAGAATTTCCTGGGTCATGTGGCCTACCTGGGAGCTGAGGCAAACATCAATCTCCACCCGCTGAGCACGGTGGGCAGCAAGGGAGCGTATCAAATGCTGGTGGGGTCCCTCCTGACTGTGTGGGTGCACCAATCATTGTTACATGACTCGTATACCATTGGGTGGCGTGCACGGGAAGAAGCTGAGAGATTCTGTCTAAGATGACACAAGAAGAGGATGGTGGTGTAGGGACAATGGTTGCTTTCATCTCTTTGACCATTGGAGGCCAAAGTAAAAGTCTAAGCCGCAAGAGGAATGCAGACCCATCCTCTGCTGCTGTGATATCAGCTCCGAACCCCTCCTTCACTGACTGGGGCACAGTCAGAGAACTCTCAAAAAGGTGGCACCTTTAAGCTTGGCCAGGGATGTTGCCCCTGGGTAAATGATGCACACATTGGTGCAGGGACGATAAACAATCAGCCCTATGCAGCTAGTTTTGGACAAAATGGGTCGCACATATCTACAACACAAAGTTGAACCTACAAAACAGGAGAATGTATAGGTCACTCAGTTCCTCAAGGCTGCCTCGCCATTGGGAATAAGAGTTGGGATATCATGTTGTGGCTGTACAGGACCTTGGTTAGGCCACTTCTGGAATACTGCATTCAATTCTGGTACTGTCGGCAACAGGGGAGTAGAGAGGGCGGGCAAAACCACCCCCTGGGGGGAGGGGAATAGCAGGGGGCTGTACCTTTAACTGGGGGGAGAGGGCTATGCCATTACCCAGGTTGGGAGGGGGTTGCCGTGGGACTGTACCTCCACACAGGGCTGGTTTCGGTTTCGGTTGTTCTCCTCATACAAATACTGGATCATCTGCTCGTAGGGCGCAGACTTGAGCTGTTGCAATGAGACAACGCAGACAATGATGAGCTGCTCGCTCCCTGCTGTCGATTTCTTGATGAAGGTGTCAAACTCCAGGTCGGTGATGTTGGGAACCTTGGTGGTGCTGCAATGACAACGTTTCTTGACTGTGCCCATCATCGCAGCTCGCAATACGACCGGACACGGACTGGGTGACAGCAACCACTCCTTTTCCTCCTTAGGAACCTGAGGAAACCGAAGCCTAAAGGAAGCGGTAGTGATCAGGACCATGGGCAGAATGTCACTGAGCTCTCTAATATATACCCACACGATATCAGCACTTACAGAGATGGAGACAAAACTAAAGATGTGATTTTATCACATTAGACCATCGACATCTTTCTATCTATATCTATTTGCCCCTTTCATTTGAACCCACTCCAATCACATCTACCCTTCTCAACAATTCCACACCGCTCAGTTTGTCTGTACCGCAGACAAGCTCCCATCCTTCAGTGTGAACATAAACTGTGAGGACTTTCTAATTGTTCCACTGTGGGAGGCTTTCACAAGGCAGCAGAATGGGTGACAATGCTTGGAACTGTGTGTGTGTGGGGAGGGGGGTTGTCAATGATGCATGGAGATATTTTAGGGCTGTCAATAATATAGCAATGCCAGGGTACAGTAATGCAGAGGAACAGTGTCAGGGCACTAATGCATGGCATTGTCAAAGGGGTGGATGAGTGACCAGCACAGTCTAATTATGGAGCAACGGTCATGATTAGAATCAGTATCAGCTTCTGACCGCATTACATTCTTGGTGAGAATGACTGTCCTTGGTGTCAAGACCTTAGTCGACTGAGTGTGACATCAAGAAGTCTGAGCAAAACTAGAGTTGATGGGTATCAAGGGAAAACTCTCTGCTGGTTGGAGACATACCTAGCACATAGGAAGGTGGTTGTGGTCATTGCAGGTCAGTCATATCAGCTCCAGGACACCTCTGCAGGAGTTCCTCATGGTAGTGTCCGGGGCCCAACCATCTTCAGCTGCTTCATCAATGACCTTCCCTCCATCATAAGGTCAGAAGTGGAGGTGTTTGAGGATGGTTGCACAATGTTCAGCACCACTCACAACTTCTCAGACACCATGTTCAAATACAACAAGATCTGGACCATATCCAGGCTTGGACTGATAAATGGCAAGTAACAATTGCACCATACAAATGCCAACCTATGACATCTATGACCAACTCCAATGAGAGAAAATCTAACCTCCATCCCATGACATTCAATGGTGTGACTGTCACCGAATGCCCCATTATCCACATCCTGAGGGTTACCATTGACATGAAACATCAACTGAACTCACCACATTAACACAGTGGCTACAAGAACAGGTCAGAAGCTAGGAATAATGCAGCGAGTAATTCACCTCCTGACATCCCAAAGCCTGTCCACCATCTACAAGACACAATTCAAGAGTGTGATAGAATACTCCCCACTTGCCAGGATGAGTGCAGCTCCAACAACACTCAAGAAACTTGACACCATCCACCACAAAGCAGCCCGCTTGATTGGCCCCACATCCACAAGCATCCACTACCTCCACCACCAACGCTCAGTAGCAGCAGTGTGTACTATCTACAAGATACACTGCAGAAATTTACCAAAGATCCTCAAACACCACCTTCCAAACCCAAAACCACTTCCACACGTGGGAACATCACCCCCTGCAAGTTCCCCTCCAAGCCACTCACCATCCTGACTTGGAAGTATATATCAGTTCCTTCACTGTCACTGGGTCAAGATCCTAGAATTCCCTCCCTAAGGACATTGTGGGTCAACCCACAGCACTCAAGGGTAACTAGGAACAGGCAATAAACACTGACCATGAGTGAATAAAAACAAATTGGGTGGATTTACATTTCGACTTGGTCGGATTTGATAAAGGAGCCATGCTGTATTTCCTGCTGAATATACAGCTGCCGATTAGGATATCAGGCAGGCACATCGCTGACTGCAGATATTACATCACTTGTTCAATTGTGTATCAATGTCTCTGAAGTTGGGAAGAGTCAGAAAACTGTTGACTCTGTCAAACTGTCAAAACAAGAGAATCCTGAGATGAATGCGGGTAGGAGGCCATGGTGTCCAAGGCAAGTTAGCAAATTGGTTCCAAAATTGTCTTGCAAATAAGTGGCAAAGGATGAAGATGGAGCATTGTTTTGTGATTGGAAGCCTGTGGCCAGTGGTGTACCACAGGGATTGGTGCTGGGACCACTGCCTGATACGTTGGCGACTTGGATGCCAATATAGAAGGTATGCGAATGTAAAATGCAGAAGTAAGTTTGCACATGACACAAAAATTTGTGGTGCTGTTGATAGTGAGGAGGATGGTCTCAGGTTAGTCTGATATTGATCAGCTGGTAAATTAGACAGAGCAATGACAGGTGGAATTTAATCCTGGTAAGTGTGAGGTAATGCATTTTGGTAGATGTAATAAGGGAAGGGTATATACAATGAATGGCAGGTCCCTAGGGAGTACTGAGAAACAAAGGGACCTTAGCGTACATATCCATAGATCACTGAGGTATCAACATAGGTAGACAAGGTGGTGAAGAAGGCAAATGGGATGCTTGCCTTCATTAGCCAGGGTGTAGAATATAGGAGAAAGGAAGTCTTATTAAACATTGATTAGACCACAGATGGAATACTGTATGCAGCTCTGGTGACCTCACGATCAGAAGGATGTGATTGCACTGGAGAAGGTGAAGAGGAGATTCACCAGGATGTTGCCTGTAATGAAAAGTCTCAGTTATGAGGACAGACTCAATAGACTGGGTTTGTTTTCCCTGGAGCAGAGAAGGCTGAGGGGTATCTGATTGAGGTATACAAAATTATGAGAGGCATAGTCAGAGTAGATTGTGAGAAGCTCTTTCCCATGGCAGATCTGTCTAAGACCTGAGGGCATTGTTTTAAGGTGGGGAGTAAGTGATTTAGAGGAGATCTGAGAAAAAATTCATCCAGAGGGTGATAGAAATATGGAACATGCTGCCTGAGAAGGTGGTGGAGGCAGGTATTTAAGAAGCATCTGGACGAATCCTTTAAATGCCAAGGCATACTAGGCTATGGACCAAGTGCAGGTAAACAGGATTAGTGCAGTTTGTTGTTCAGCATAGACATGGTGGGCCGAAGGGCCTGTTTCTATTACACCATGTGACTAAGACACTTGAGGACCTGCTTCCTTATCGCAGTCATCCTATACAGTACCGGATCTGAAAGCGCACTGACCTTCCACAGAAACAATATGTAGCACTTCTGGCCATCCACAAACCCAATTCGCTCTCTAAAACATTTCACCAGGCTCATCAAATATCATCTACTTCCTAAGATGTCCACCTCATGGGGCTCAATATTCTCAGAGTCAATCCTTTCAGGAATGTAGTTATGACCTGGGCTTCTCTCTAAATGAATTGGGAACCATGTTTCTATCTTTGTATCCACAGAGTCCAGCTCATAGATCTTCTTGCAGCATCTTCCCCATTCCCACTACCCTTGGTTTAGTAATTGACTTGGTCCTTAAAATTTCTCATCTCAGATACCAGCCTACATTCCAGGATAGATTCGACACACAATCAAACTGTAGAGTCATTTTAGAGTGCAAGACTAATATTGTTATCACATCAGCTGAAAGGGGTCATTGTTGTATTGTTGTCTTGTGTACCTACCTAGCTAGGGGAGGCTGAATGCCAACTCTGAGAGTTCCTCCCCACCTACCCATTGATCCCTGAAACCTAGCACTGCAAATCAAGCCGCCATCTCCAGGTCTGTTCCCAACCTCCTCTCCTCTGGAGGTCCTCCCTCAGCACCTTCCCACCTCACCTTCTCCCACCCTCAAGAACCCACTTCCACCTCTTTCCCAAGATCCACAAACAGGACTGCCCTGGTTGGCCCATCATTTCAGCCTGATTCGGCCCGAATGAATTTATTTCTCTCCTCATCTGTCCCCATCTACATCTGTCCCTTTTCTGTGCACTCCATCATTGAAGAAGTTTCCAATTCCCTGGCCTAACCATCTCCTCTTCACCGTAGGTGTTCAATTCCTCTTTATCTCCAACCCCTCATGCCCAGGGTAGTCAGAGGAACTCTCAGCTTCTTCCTTGAGTGGAGACTCAACCAGTTTCCATTGATCACTATCCTCACTCAACAACAGTGTGTCCAGATTACTAATGGTTAAATCCAGAATAAAGAGGTCTACGCACTGGTCCTGAAGACTTGAGCTTTTCCTCATTTTATGGTCATTATTCCTCTTAACCCTACTCTGCTTTATCATTTGAATTTCTAATTCCTGCCAGGTGCATTGCAAATAACATTCTCTTCCAAGCTCTTTCACTCTAATGAAGCCTGTAATGAGATTTGGGTTATCTACAAAAAGGGGCTGGACAATTTCCAATGGCGATGCCTTGGTAATTCACTCAGAGTCAGGGGAGGAGACAAGTGAAAAAAAAACCCATTATCCTCACAACACCCATGCCTGCCACGTTGCACACATGTTCATGCATCCTCTGCAGGGCTGGACATTGCTTTCACATGGCAAATAATCAGCTTCCAAAACAAATGCTCTTGTCACACAATTACAGAAATGTTATGATCCACAAGGAGGTCATTCAGCCTAAAATGGCACATAAAATAATCATCCTTTTGAATGCCTCAACTGAATCTGCCTCCTCCACACTTCCAGACAGTGTATTCCAGACCCTAACTATATGCTGAGTGAGAAAAGATTTTCCTCATATCAGATTTGCCTCATTTGCAAATCCCTTCAAATCCATTCCCTTTCATTCTTGGTTCTTTTATGAGCGGGAACAATTTCTCCCTGTCTACTCTCTCCATTTAGCATTTGACTTTGAAAACATTTATCAAATCTCTTTGTAACCTCCTTCTCTCCAAGGAAACTGAAATAAGAAACTTCACATTTCACTTATCAAGTGACCTTAAATATTGTGAGTTGCCATAGTGGGGTATGAATCTATGTCCCCAGAACATTAACGTAAGCCTCTGGATTAGTAGGCCACTAACAATGTCACAACACCACCTTCCCCAGACAACAACTTTAAACAATGCAATGGACCTCAAGGGGGACAGAGAAAATGTTTTAGCGACACTTTGAAAGTCTCATTGAAAAGGGGACAAATCGATACTGGGGCATGGGAGGTATTTGTTGCATGTGGCGGTCCTTTGTCTAACAAATCATGACACAGCCAAACACTGATAGTATAGACTCTGTGGTGGGAAAGTGATAAGAAAGCAATGAGAGACAGAGAGAGAGCACAATTTTTCTGATTGTCAGAAAAACCCATCTGGTTCACTGTTGTCCTTTAGGGAAGGAAATTGTCATCCTTACCAGGTCTACATGTGACTCCAGACCCACAGCAATGTGGTTGACTCTTAATTGCTCTCTGGGGTATTAGGGATGGGCAATAAATGTTGGTCTAGACAGTGACGCTCTCATCCCATGAATGAATTTAAAAAAAGACAGAAGTCACATGACACCAGGCTATAGTCAACAGGTTTATTTGAAATCACAAGCTGTTGGAGTATGGCTCCTTTATCAGGTGAAGGAGCAACACTCCAAAGGTTTGTGATTTCAAATAAACCTGTTGAACTATAACCTGGTGTCAAGTGACTTCTGACTTTGTCCACCACAGTCCAACACCAGCACCTCCACATCATTAAAAAAGTGCCCTGGCTCTGAGAGCCACCCAACCTCTGGGAAATTCTCGCACTCTCTGCCCAAAGACCAGTGGCTTCAGGATTGAATCCTCGCTAAGGCCATCCTGATTTTGAGGTATAAGAGCTCAGAGCAGGAGTAGGCCATTCAGCCCCTCGAGGCTGCTCCACCATTGAAAACGATCACGGCTGATCTCATCTCGGCCTCCGCTCCTCTTTCCTGCCCACTCTCCACAACCTATCAACCCATTATTCATCAAAAATCTGTCGACCTCCTTGTTAAATTGACTCAATGTCCCAGGATCCATCGCTCTCTGGGGTACTGAGTTCCACAGATTCATGACCCTTTTGAGAGAAGTAATTTCTGCTCACCTCTGTTTTAAATTGGTTTCCCCTTCTCCTAAGACTCTGACCTCTCATTCTGACAGCAACAATTCCAGCCTGCTGCCTCATTCTCCTGTGGTCCATACAAGTCTCCTGGTTACTCTAACTTCAAACCAGACCAAGGGCCAATCAACGTATTCCACTGCCAGGTTCCTCCTGAGCCACCTCAATTGGAAAGCCCTAGGTAATATTTCCAAGCATTTAAACCCTTGCTACTTGTCCCAGTCAAATTGCTGCCACGATGGAATATGAAGTACAATGGCCTGGGGTTGAAACAGCCTTTTAATGGTCCAAATGGCCTCCTTGAGATTCAAGCCTTTTAACTAAACCTCCGGCTTTAACAATACAGAAGTGGAACCCTCAAATCTGTTGGTTATTGTCTCTCTCCATTTGCCAATTTCCTCTTCATCGCCACTTTACTGGGGGAGAAAGTGTATCAATCCACAGACATTCACTGGAATATTGCCAGGGTTGTGGTTTGTGATGAGAAGGATGTTGTGAGGGATTGTATCCAAGAGCAGGGATATAATGCTGGAACTACAAAAGCCGCTGGTTAGGCCACAGTGCATTTCTAGTCACCACATTACAGGAGGACATAATTGCTACAGAGGGGATTCACAAGAATGTTACCAGGACTTGAAAATTGCAGCCAAAAGGAAATTTTGGATAGGTTGGGGTTGTTTTCCTTAGAACAGAGAAGGTCGAGGAGTGTTTTAAATGAGGTGTACCAAACACTGAGGGACTCAGATGGAGTGGACAGGGAAGAGCTGTTTCCCTGTGTTGAGAATTCAATGATCGGGGGCCACAGATTTAAGGCAGAAGGATTTAAGGGGACACGGGGAAAGACATTTTCACTCAGAGAGTGGTGAGTGTCTGGAATTGACTGCCACTTTGGTGGTTGGGGTGGAAAACCTCAATTCATTTAACAGGAGCCTGTCTCTGAGGCATTAGAACCTGCAAGGTTACAGACCGGGGTGGGTGGGAAAGTGGATTTAGAATGGGTGGCTAGATTATTCAGCTAAAGCAGATATAGTGGACTTGATGACCTCTGTCAATGCTGTAAATATTCAATGGTCAATGGATCCCAAGGGATGAAAAATTAAGGCTACATCCCACATCTCATGAATAAACTTAAAATTTCTAAAGTGCAAATAAGAGGCCAAGAACAGGGAACAGAATGGAGACTACAAATGTTTCACGTTCCTGATGTCTAGCAAGGCACAAGGACTGAAGCTGCCTTGATATTTAGGAAACGTTGTCCTGCAGAGATCAATGAGACTCTTGGAACAGGGCCTCCAGCAGTAAGTGGTGACGGTGTGGGAGTGCACCGAGCAGGGGAGCTTGAGCCATTGAGTGGACTCATAGGATTACAGAATGTTATGGTGCAGAAGAGGCCATTTAGCCCATCGTGCCTGCACCTACTGTCTGAACATTTTGAGTCAGTGCCAATCTTTTGCCTTGTCTCCGTAAATCTGACCGCTGATTATTTAAATAGATTGTCCCTGCCTTCAGCATTCTTCCAGGCAGAAACAGGCCTCAGAGAGTGAGAGAGAAAGTGAAAGAGCGAAATGATTTCCTCAATCAGATGTGAACTATAGGCTTACTTTGATGTAAACACTTTGTTTTCTTGGGTTGGCATTATTTTCCTGTCATGATTGTAAAGATCTAGTGCCAGTGGAATTAAGAATTCCGGCTTCATGAATGTCAGGCTAACCATGTGCTGGAATCCCACTCTAGAGAAAGGACTGTGACTGTCAACATCACCTGTAAATCAATGATGAGGAAGATTCTTTAGAGTTTTATTTGCGACAAGTTGTAGCAAGAGCGTTATTACCGGGAATATTTTCTTTTCCCGCTCCATTAGAGACTTGTGCAACATCCTTTTCTTTATCCAGAATAATACTTGACACCATGCTCCTGAGAATTCAAACAATTGCCTAGCACATTCCAAAAAATGTAGCATACTTTCTCAGAATCCAAAGTTTTATTCTTCAAGGAAGCTGCCCTTCCAATGAGAACCTCCTCCCATCTCAAACCGTCCTCGTACAACCTTTTCCACACAGTCACTTTCTGCCAGTGAGCTGGTGTTTCATTGGAACAAATGGTCAATTCTCAGGACTGACAGACCACACACAGACCATCACTCCTTTGCAAGTCAGTCACAAGAAAGTGAATTATGAGCATTAGTTGACAGCTGGCCCTCTCCAATTTGTACAGAAAAACCCTTCAACTCTGGCCTCAAGGTTAAAACTGACCACAAAAGGATCGTCCCCTGTACTTCTATTCAGTAACACAGCCCTCTGGTCTGCAGAGAAACTGCAGCACTTCCTCTAATCCTAATGGTGGCTTTTTATGTAGGGGCAAAAATCACACGACACCAGGTTATAGTCCAACAAGCTAAGCTACGAAAGCGTGCGTTTTCAAATAAGCCTGTTGGACTATAACCTGGTGTCATGTGATTTTTGACTTTGTCCACCCCTGCCCACATCATGGCATCTCCACATCATAGCTTTTTATGTATACACACAGTCCTTGAGAAACCTGATCTATGGATATGTTGGATCCCAGTGCTTTTGTTCAGTTGCAACCATGTCACTTATAGTTCAAGTAATTTCTCTGCACTGGTGTTTAAAAGTTTACAACATCAAATAATGTACCTCCAGATTGGTATGTGATTAGTCCTCACTTACCCCTGTTGGATATTAGCAGGAGTTGAAGATCCATGTCTGTTAGATGTCATTAAGCCGATATTGCCTTCTCTGCTAATCATTGCAGCCAAATTCCTGGTCAAATGAGAAGTTGGATCATTAATGATCATAAAAAGCGAAGTGTAAGGGATCTGCGTTGTAACAAGTTACCACATTTCCCATTGGAAAATTATTAACTATTTACTTCCCTTGATCAAAGGCATTTTGAAATCAAATTATATTTAATAAACGCAATGAATTTACAAAGGCCTCAAACAGCAAAAGCTTCAGACATCAAAGACGAGTGTGTCAGGCACACAATCCTACAACATAGTTCAAAAATCTTTTTTCAAAATGATACTATTGGGGCCTATTTCTTAGTCTTCCACAAGGTGTGGGCATCACTGGTTGGGCTAGTATTTATTACCCACCCCTATTTGCTCTTGAGAAGGCAGTGGTGACCTTACTTTTGTTGGTCAGTGCATTGAATATAGGAGTTGGGAGGTCATGTTGGGGCTGTACAGGACATTGGTTAGGCCACTTTTGAATTCTGGTTTAAATTCTGGTCTCCCTGCTATAGGAAGAATGGTGTGAAACTTGAAAGGGTTCAGAAAAGATTTACAAGGACATTGCCAGAGTTGGAGGGTCTGAGCTATAGGGAGGGGCTGAATAGGTTGGGGGCTATTTTCTCTGGAGCATCGGAGATGAAGGGTGACCTTATAGAAGTTTATAAAATCATGAGGGTCACGGAGAAGGTGAATAGCTACGGTCTTTTCACCCAGAGTAGGGGAGTCCAAAACTAGAGGGCATAGGTTTAATGTGAGAGGGGAGAGATTTAAAAGGGATTCAAGGGGCAATTTTATGACGCAGAGGGTGGTGCGTGTATGGAATGAGCTACCAGAGGAAGTGGTGGAGGCTGGTACAATTACAACATTTAAAAGGCATCTGGATGGGCATATGAATAGGAAGGGTTTAGAGGGATAGGGGCCAAATACTAGCAAATGGGACTAAATTAATTTAGGATATCTGGTTGGCATGGACAAGTTGGACCCGAAGGGTCTGTTTCCATGCTGTACGGTTCTTTGACTCTATAACCATAGCAATCTGTAGCACAGGGGGTTAATCCTATCTGGTAATTTGTCAATCAGATAGAGTCTACATCATTGCAGGAAGAGATGCAGTGTCACTTGATCATGATTCTCTCTTTTGCAGCTTTGTGTTAGGGTGCAGCCTCAGTAAGACATGTCCAATAGAACGAGTGTTTCACTCCACACAACATTCTGTGTAAGTATTCTTCACACAATATCAAGGCCCGAATTATCTGAGAACTAATCAGTTATTGCTCCTCTCCTACTTTTTTCTGTATTTCTAGCCAGGTCTTCTGAACCTGGCCTCTTTGGAAACTCAGAGTTTAAATCTGAGTTTGTTGGGGGAGACAAAACACTGTATTCTTATTCAGTTCATTCATTAACACACTGTAAAACCTTGGAACATCTTGTCCAGTGCCTGAAAGAATGAGTATGAGTGAGGTATGTGATTGAGGGAGTCAGGTGGCAGTGGGTCAGAGTGACTGACAAGTTGGTGAATGGATAGGTCAGCAGGAATTTGTCTCCTAATGGCACTGTAGAGACTGCAACCATTCAAGAAGGCAGCTTCTCAAGGGCAATTGGGGATGGACGACCAGCGATGCCTACATCCGATGGATAAACTTGAATAGAAGATGGATGAGAGGCCAACTGGGTAGGTTGGCAGGATGGGCTGTCAGGGGCTCGGAGAATAGTTGTGTGGTAAGGGTGATATCGGACAGTTGGCAGGAAGTCGGTGAGTTGTTGGCGGGGAGGAGTCGGGAAAGTCGGGAGACAGTGGTGTGGTGTGATCAGTCAGTTTGAGGGCTAGTTCTGGGAGGAGTTGTGTCAATTGTATAAATACCCAGAGTTAGACATGGTTTCTAACATTCTGTGGGCCCACATATCCCCATAATCCCGCATTTCCCACGGCTCATCCACCTAGCCTGCACATCTTTGGACTGTGGGAAGAAACTGGAGCACCCAGAGGAAACCCATGCAGAAACAGGGAGAATGTGCAAACTCCACACAGTCAGTCACCCAAGGATGGAATCGAACTCAGGTCCTTGATGCTGTGAGGCAGCAGTGCTAATCACTGAGCCACCGTGATGCCCCAGTAAGTAAGTCCAAACTATCTGAAGTCTAACTCAGAGTCAAAGACGTTTTTGCAGGGTCTGGGTACAGGATTTTGACCCAGTGACAGTGAAGAAATGGCAAAATATTTCCAAGTTAGGAGTGGAACTTGCAGATGATGCTGGTGGTCCCATGTATCTGTTGCCCTTGTCCTACTACATGCTGGGGGCTATAGGTTTAGAAGGTCCTTAGTGAGTTACTGTAGTGCATCTTCTAGATGGCATGCACCGCAAACAAGCAGGCTGCTTTGTCCTGGATGGTGTCAAGTTTCTTGAGTGTTGTTAGAGCTGCAATCATCCAGGCAAGTGGAGAGTATTCTATCACACTCCTGACTTGTGCCTTGTAGATGGTGGACAGGCTTTAGGGAGTCAGTAGGTAGGTTATCCACCTAATTCCTAGCCTCTGACTCACTGTGGTTGTGACTGTATTGAAATGGCTGTCTAGTCATTTTGTGGTCAATGGTCATTCCCAAGGTGTTGATAGTAGGGGATACAGTGATGGTAACACCACTGGATGTTAAGGGGCAATGATTAGATTCCCTCTTGTTGGAGATGTTCATTCGTGTGGCTTCAGTATTTCTGTTTGAATGTTTTATTCTAAATCATTAGCTAGGATGAGGTTTAACAATTCATTATCTGGTTTTTATTCTTAAGGACCCTTTGTTTTCTCTCATATTATGAAGTTATTCCCACATTCAAAGCTAAGTTAGCCTTTCGCCTTCATTAATGGAGACATGCTTATATCAAGGATCAAATAACAAAAGTGCCCTCATTCCTGGCTTCCTGCCTTCAGTAGAGGTGAACAATGCCTGTTTTGGAAGGCTGCATTCACACCTCACCTGGCTCAGAGGCCACACACACTGCCAGAGATCAGTAATACTGGACATCAGACCAGGCAGATACACAGTGCTGAGGGAAAACTGCCACCAATGCATGTTGACAAAGTCATCACAGACTTCTCTATCCACCATCCCACATTTAAAACATTTACCCGAACCAATTGTGTCAAAGTTCAAGTGACGAAACGTTGATGGGAAAATCTATTCCTGGCTGGTTATTGCATGTATTTTGGGAAATCACTTTCAAATTACAGATTACTCACCTCTTTACATGAGTCTGCTGTTTCCCCACCCCCTCAAGTGCACCAGACATTATGGCATCTGGCACCAGACAGTGGACAGACCGGATAAAGACAAGTTTGTTCAGTATAAAACCTGTTCGCAGGTTCTCAGGTATGAGAAAATACAAAGACATGAGGAGACTTGAAAAGACAATTCCATGGCAGCAACAGAGATGGAGGACTGCTCTAACGGAAGTACACATAAATCGCACATCTACCTCTCCAACTGTCTTCCCGATAATTTTCAGAATAATTACGGGGCAACTAGTGTGAGTAAAAATATCCCCTTCATTCAAATATCTCAAACAGAGAAAGCACACGTTACATGATTAGAATGTGCAGTGTCAATTATAAAGATATTGCAGCATTTAAAGGACATTAAATTCAATCAATATGTCATGTTATTAAACAAACTGATTTTTGCACTAGATTTGTTTTAACCTTTATTAGAGGGATTAGAATTTCAGTTGCTGAGAAAAGCAAGTGAAGTATATTGTAGGAAGTATTTATGGAATCTGTGCGCTAGACCGTGAAATCTGGGTGTAAATAACCTCATTCTAAAATCACGCGTCAATGCATTGGATCGGAGGGAAGGTGCCATTGCTGGGTGGTGAGCGGAAGAACAAGCAAGACCAGCAAGATGGCAACAGAGTAGGATGCTCCAGGCAGAGCTCCTCTGCTCACCAGTCCCTTTCCATTTTCTTCCTTTGTTTTCTCCTCTTCGTAGCTTTTCTTTTCTTACCCCCAAGCTTCTGCCCTACCTGGAGACTGGAGTCGAAGAACAGATCGAGCACGGGCCAATTCCCACGGCAGAGTGAGCGCAGCCAGAGTCCGGGATAGAGGTCGGCACATGGAGGCAGCATGGCCTCGTGCTCTGGGCCAGTGGGCATGGACTGGCACTTAAGTACTTATTGTCACTTATTATCATTCTGGACTTTTTTCAATTGTTCCCATGCTAATCTATATATTTTTAAACTCTGTAATAACTTTTATTTACACACTGTAACTACACTTGAAAAGTATCTGTACCTAGGTCCTCTGTACCTAACGTGGCTTGGAAAGGTGACAAACTTTTCACTGCACTCGACTGCATGTGACAATAAAGGCTATTCAGTTCTAATAGGGAAGGGGGCTAGAGCTGTATGGATATTGGCGCAGTGAGGGAGGCATGGAGCAAAGTGGAGAGTGGGCAGGGGAGAAAGGTGATGTGTAAATCACTTGAGCTCACATCAGAGAGACTTCTGAAAAAAGAACGCACCTCTTTGATGCTCAATTGTTAAAATAGCTTTGAATTGCTCAGTGTTATAGATAAGGTCATAGAGTCATACAGCAGGGAAACAGACCCTTCGGTGCAACTCGTCCATACTGACCAGATACCCTAAATTAATAATATAGCTATTTCCCAGCATTTGGCCCATATCCCTCTAAATCCTTCCTATTCATGTACCCTTCCAGATGCCTTTTAAATGTTGTAATTGTACCAGCCTCCACCACTTCCTCCAGCAACTCATTCCATACAGGTACCACCCTCTGTGTGAAAAAGTTGCCCAGAGATCCTTTATAAATCTTTCCCCTTTCATCTTACGCCCTCTAGGTTTGGGCTGCGCCCTCCGCCCCACCGCCCACCTCCACAGGCAAAAGACCTTGGCTATTCACCCAAAACATGCCCCTCATGATTTTATAAACCTCCAAAAGGTCACACCTCATCCTCCGATCCTCCAGGGAAAATAGCCCCAGCCTATTCAGCCTTTCCCTATAGCTCAAACCCTCCAGTCCCGGCTACATCCTTGTAAATCTTTTCTGCACCCTCTCAGGATTAACAACAACCTTCCCATAGAAGGGCAACCAGAATTGTACACAGTATTCCAAAGGTGGCCTCACTAATCTTCTGTACAACCACAATATGATATCCCAACTCCTATACTCAATGTTCTGACCAATGAAGGCAAGCATGCCAAACGCCTTCTTCACCACTGTGTCTACCTGAGGCTCCACTTTCAAGGAAAAATGCACCTGCAGCCCTAGGTCTCTTAGTTCAGCAACACTCCCCAGGGCCCTACCAATTCTGATCGTTTGATGCAGGGCAGATACCTGCAGTGTCGGTGACAGGGATGTGAGTACACCCGCTGCAGTTCTCACTCACCCTCACTTGGCCAATACCCATCACTGCACCACCTACAGGGTGCCTCATGCACAGCAGAAGGTCACAGTCTGGCCTGGATTTGGAATACCAACCCAAACATCGTCCAGAGACTACCTATTAGATATCTTCCCTGGGCTAAAGAACTGCTGTGAAGAGTGAACATAGACCCAGTTTATATCACAGAGTTGTGTACATTACAATACAAAACGATACACTTGACAGCAAATTGCTAATAAAACACAGGATGGGTTTGTCACAATACCATTATAGCTTTCCTGGATATTACTTTTCTTTGCTGAGAGTCACCATTTTCCAGTGACTGGTGTGTCTAACAAACAGCTCTGTTGCTGACGAATACTGGTACATTGGGCAGAAACTTTATTATCATTACCCACAGTACCCTTTACTCCTGTAAGTGTAGACACACAGTACCTTTGATTTTATAATTAAGTCGGATTCCTATCTCAATGTCATTGACTCATAGAGGTCTATAGGACAGATAAAGGCCCTTCAGCCCATCATGAACACACCTACCAAAAGCAACTATGTAATTATTCTAATCCCATTACCCAGTACTTGGCCCTCGTCTGCCTTTGGATCACAAGTGCATATCTAAATACTTCTTCAATGTTGTTAGGGTGTCTACCTCTACCACCCTAGCAAGCAGCGAGTTCCAGATTTCCACCACCCTCTGGGTGAAAAAAGTTTTTCCTCACATCTCCTCTAAAAATCCTGCCCATTACCTTAAATCTATGCCCCTGACTCATTGATCCCTCTATCAAGTGGAAAATTTTCTGTCTACTGTATCTAGATTCCTCATCATTTTATACACCTCAGTTGTGTCCCCTCTCAGTCTCCTTTGCTTCAAGGAAAACAAACCCAGTTTGTGCAATCTCTCTGCAGAACTGAAATTTTCCAACCCTAGCACCCTCCTATAATTCTGGCCTCTTGTGTATTCTCAGTGATAGTTGCTTCAAGCTTGGTGGCTGTGCCTTCAGTTACATATGCTCCCAGGCTCTCAATTTCCTTCACTTCATTTATTCCCCTCGCAAACTCACTTTCCTTTTTAAGACGCTCCTTAAAACCTATCTCTTTCACCAGGTTGTTGGACATCAGACCCAGCACCTCCTTGTATGTCTTGATGTCATACTTTGTTTTAATGCCGCTGTGATGCACTTTGCGAAGTTTTATCACATTAAGGCTCTATCTATATTTGGTGATACATTAAATGGACAAGTAAACACCACACTGAAAGTTCCCCTCCAAGCCACTTGTCGTTCTTGGAAATATATCGCCGTTCCTTCAGTGTTGTTGGGTCAAAATCCTGGAATTCCGTCCCTAAGGACATTGTGGGCCAACCGACAGCACATGGACTGCAGCGGTTCAAGAAGGCAGCTCATCCCCACCTTCTCAAGTGTAGCTAAGGACAGGCGATAAATGCTGGCAGAGGTAGTGATTCTCACGAGTGAATAAAACAAAAGATGGAAATCTGTATGGCCATGTCCTCGTTATCCATATAGCCTTGTCCTCATTATCCATACAACCATGTCCTCATTATCCATACTTGGCTAACAGCCAAGACCAATCAAAGTGTGAGCTCAGTAGAGATTCTGTTTTGACAAGTTAAGTTGAATTGTTGATTTTGCTTGATTGACATCTTTAAGTGAATACAATAAATTGTTCTTTTTATGAACTCTTTTGTCAATGTCTCGATGTTTATTTGGGCAAGGTGAGGTGTTGTGAAGTTTTCGGTGGGGTTTCAGAAGTCACCACATGCTCCTTCTCCACATATAGCCAAGAGTGGACGTTACTGGGAAAGAGGGGGCAGGCAGCCAGGAATGACATACACCTCCACAGACCACTGCCAGGATCTGGTGATGGCTCCTTTAGCTAGGCCCAGGAATAGGCCCACAAGGAGGCCCTCCAATCTGCCTGCAGCCTAGTCTCAGCTCTTCATTTTTACATAAAATAACAAAAATGACAAAAATAGCACACCAAGGGCACTGTAATATGAGGCAAACCCACTCCTAAAAAAGGAAGAAATAAGAGTTGGGTGAGAACTAAGTCAAAATCTCATGGGAGGAGGAAATGATGCAATCCAGCCCCTGTGGTGCTGATTGATCCCAGAATGCTTTAGGGGTTTCAGTGTAGAACTCAGCTCTTAAATACAGAGTCCATGAGCACTGCCTACTCACAATCAACTCTGGAAATGGTCTAGCTCACCTCCAATTGACCTGCATTTCTAACACTTGGAGGGAACAGAAGACCTGTGAGAGGGGAGAGAACAGAATAGAATGGAATGGTAACTGATTGTCACTTGTATTTTTACAAAAAATACAGTGAAAAGTGTTTAAGCCATCATTATCTGTACCTATATTAATAACAGAAATCATATTTTAAAAAATTAAGACAAAGTCCATCTTTGTTCAATTCATGGCTCATGGGTTCCCAAGTTCAAGGGAGAAACAGGAACCAGGGCAGCTATTGCTGCCACAGAAAAGATGACGCCAACATTTTAGCTTTCACTTGGGGTCCTGAGCCCTACTTTGGGAAGCTCTCCATTAGACATCCCCCACTGTAGTGCATTGCATTTAAAGTACAGGTTTGACTCCCCTCACTTGAAGATGGATGAAATTGCATTGGAGGCATTGCAGGGAGTATTCACTTGATTAATTCCCCGGCTGGAAGGTTTGTCTTAGGAGGAGAGATTGAGCAGTTTAGGCCGATAGCGGAGTTTAGAAGGATGAGAGGAGATCTAATTGAGGTATATAAGATACCAGAGGGGATTGACAGAGTAGATGTAGAGTAGATGTTTGTCCTTGTGGGGCAATCTAGAATGAGGAACAGAAACAAAGTTGCTGGAAAAGCTCAGCAGGTCTGGCAGCATCTGTGGAGGAGAAAACACAGTTAACGTTTCGGGTCCGGTGACCCTTCCTCAGTTCTGAGGAAGGGTCACCAGACCCAAAACGTTAACTCTGTTTTCTCCTCCACAGATGCTGCCAGATCTGCTGAGCTTTTCCAGCAACTTTGTTTTTGTTCCTGATTTACAGCATCCGCAGTTCTTTTGGTTTTTAATCTAGCATGAGGGTTAGTCTAAGGGTTAGCAGATTTAAAATAGAAATGAAGAGGAATTACTTCTCTCCTTGGGTTGTGAATCTATGGAATAGCTCAGAGTGCAGTGGACACTGAATACATTTGAGGGGGAGGTAGACAGATTTTTAATTAGCAATGAGTTAAAGCATAATAGAGAGAGGACAGTGAGCTGGAGTTGAGTCTGAAAGGAGATCAGCCATGATCGTATTAAATGGCATAGCAGGCTCGAGGGGCTGAATGGCCTGCTCCTAGTTCTTAGGTTCTTACGCTCTTATTCCTTTTGTCTACTGCTTTCAAGATAAGACCAGACGACTGTAACAAATATGAAAGGGAGTAGGCTGTTTGTCCCATCGAGCCTGTTCCACCATTCAATAGGATCATGGATGATCCGACATTCCTCACATCCACTTTCCTGCCCTTTCCCTGTATCCCTTGATTCTCTGACTGATCAAGAATCTATCTCACAGCCTTAAATATACACAAAGAACTTTCCCCCAGCTCTCTGTGACAAGGAGTTCCAAAGACTCACAACCCTCTGAGAGAAGAAATTCTTCCTCATCTCAGTCTTAAATTGATGGGTCTTTATTCTGAGACTAGGCCCTCTGGTCCTAAACTCTCCCATGAGAAACATCCTTTCAGTATTTGCCTCATCAAGCCCCTTAAGAATCCAATATGTTTCAATGACATTGCCTCTCATTCTTCTAAACTCCAGCAAGTAGAGTCGCAACCTGTTTAATCTTTGCTCATAAGACAAGCCCTCCAAACCAGGGATCATCCTCGTGACCTTCTCCGAATTGCCTCCAATGAAATAATACCTTTTCTCAAATAAGGGGATGGAAACTGCTCGCAGTATCCCAGATGTGGTCTCACTAGCACCTTGTACAGTTACAGCAAGACTTTCCTACTCTTATATTCCAACCCCCTTGAAATAAGGGCCAACATTCCATTAGCCTTCTTGATTACTGACTGTAGCTGTGTGCTAGCTTTCTGTGTTTCATGTACAAGTGCCCCCAAGTCCCTTTCTGTTGCAGCATTCTGCAGTTTTTCTCCATTTAAATAATACTCCGTTCTTTGTTCTCCCTTCGAAAGTGAACAACTTCCAATTTTCCCACGTCACACTCCAAGATTGGGAACAGCTTCCCACTCGCTAACCTGGAAAAGGAGCAGCTCCGGGGTAGACACCTATTCTGTTCCTGGCCTGGAGCAGACAGAAAGCGAACATAGTCTGCCTGCGGTGAGAAACCTTTGACTGGAGGCATGTAGGGTTTGAATGGTTGTTTCTTCGATTGAACTTTGAAGATGTGCCTGTCACTCTCGGTACGTCTGACAACTGGAAGCTTGCTGAGACCTGTGCAAACAAATAACCAGATCAGGAGTGTGTGGGGAGAGTGTTAGCAGAATGCTAGCCAACATCTCAAAACATGTCTTTTAATTAAACTATCAATTCTTGCCAGTGTTTGTTGAGTCAATTCCGTTTCCACAAAACAAGAAATTAGGTTTTTTCTTTTGAAATCCTCCTTTCACACACCATTTCAGTCTGTTAGTAATTGAAGGGGTTATGGTTAGAGAATAGATGGGTTGGGTTCTGTGAAGGCGGTGGGGGGGCACAGATGCTGAGCTCCTGGGATTGGGTCACCAGTGACTGTGTGTCACCGAAGCACAAACGGGAGGAATGGTCACTGACAAACATGTTGTATTCATTCTCAGGGCTGTGGATCTCATCATTGTAACCAACCACCCTGTCCATACAAACCCAGAGACTGCTGGAGACACTTGGAGGTCTGGCAGGATCTGTGGGGAGAAGGCAGGGTTAATGTTTTGGGTCCAGTGAACCAAGGGTAGCTAGAAAATGTGTGTGTGTGTGTGTCCCAGATAGAGTACAAAACAGTTTGGGCAGACAAAGGAATGGGTAATGGTCCTTCTGGGAGAGTGAATAGCTGCTAATGGGTAATTAGTAGCTGACAATGGATGGTGCGTGGTAGCAGCACATGTGATGACAAGGCCTGGTATGTGGGGATTGAGGTAAGGACATGGGAGAAAGTGCTCAGGCCTTAAAATTGTTGAACTGGATATTGAGTCCAGAAAGTTGCAGGTTTCCCAAGCATAAAACAAAGTGTTGGTCTTCCTGCTTCTGCTGAGCTTTGCTAGAGCACTCCAGCAAGCCTGAGACAGCATTGTTGGCTAGGGAACACAGTGGTGTATTGAAGTCACAAGCAACAGGAAGCTCAGCGTCTTTTTAGCAAACAGAACATAGGTGTTCTACAAAGCGGTCACCCAGTCTGTGTTTCGTCTCCTAATTGTAGAGGAAACCACATTTTGAGCAGCGAATACAGTAGACTAGATTGTGTGAAGTGCTGCGTTGACATGTTATTGATATCTATTGATGTTATGTTGCCATTATATTTATCCAAGGGATAGGGAGAGAGTGCAGAATGAGAGCCATAATTCAGCATGGTCAGAGAATTCACCTTTTTGCAAATGGGCTGCTTCCCATAATTACATTTTCTGCCCTCAAAGGGCACTAGTGAACCAGATGGATTTTTAACGGATGCATTAGACTAGTTTTTAATTCCACATTTTATTAAAATCAAAATCCCTCCACCAGCCATAGATGATTTCTAACCCACATCCCCAGACCATTGAAACTCTGGAATATAATTCCAGTGACATTCCCATGTATGGTCACTCCACCCCTCAGCTTATGAATCAGTACTTCTCCATGTTGAACAACATTTGGAGGAAGTACAGAATGTACTCTGGGTGGGGGATTTCAATGTTGCTCGGCAGCTGCACTGTTAATCAAGCTGGTCAGGTCCTAAAGGACAAAGCTGCTAGACTGGGTCTGCAGCAGGTGATGAGGGAACCAACAAGAGGGGAAAACATATTTGACCTCATCCTTGCTATTCTGCCAGCTGCAGATACATCTGTCCATGATAGTATTGGTAAGAGTGGCCACCACACAGTCCTTTTTGAGTCAAAGTCCCGCCTTCACGTTGACAGAAACCTTCAGCGTGTTGTGTGGCACTATCACTGTGACTAAACTGACACACTTCAAACAGATCTATCATTACACAACTGGGTATTTAGGAAATGCTGTGGGCAGCAACAGAATTGTACTCCAGCAGAATCTGTAACCTCATGGCTTGGCATATCCCCAACTCAACCATTACCATCAAGCCAGGGGATCAACCCTGGTTCAATGGAGAGTGCAGGAGGTCAAGATAGGAGCAGAACCAGGCATACCTGAAGATGAGGTATCAACCTGGTGAAGCCACCAAACAGGACTATTTGCTCGCCAAACAGCATAACCAGCAAATGCTAGACAGAGCTAAGTGATGTCACAACCAACTGATCAGATCTAAGCTCTGCAGGCCTGCCACATCCAGTCGTGAATGGTGGCGAACAATTAAATAACTCAAAGGGGAGGAGGGTCTGCAAATATCCCCATCCTCAATGATGGAAGAGCCCAGCACATCAGTGCAAAAGATAAGGCTGAAGCTTTCGCAGCAATCTTCAGCCAGAAATGCTGAGTGGATGATCCATCTTGACCTCATCCGTGGTCCCCAGAATTACAGATACCAATGTTCAGCCAATTCAATTCACTCCACATGATATCAAGAAATGTTTGGAGACACTGGATATTGCAAAGGCTATGGGCCCTGACAATATTCCAGCAATAGTACTGAAGACTTGTGCTCCAGAACTTTCTGCTCCCCTCGCCAAGCTGTTCCAGTACAGTTACAACAGTGGTATCTACCCGACAATGTGGAAAATTGCCCAAGCATGTCCTGTACACAAAAAGCAGGACAAATTCAACCCAGCCAATTACCGCCCCATCAGTCTAGTCTCAATCATCAGTAAAGTGATGGAAGGTGTCATCAACAGTGCTATCAAGTAGCACCTACTCAGAAATAACCTGCTCAGTGACACCCAGTTTGGGTTCCTGATCTCATTACAGCCTTGGTTCAAACACGGACAAAAGAGCTGAATTCCAGAGGTGAGGTGAGAGTGACAGCCCTTGATATCAATGCTGCATTCAGCTAAGTAAGTAAGGGAATCAAGGATGACAGGCAAAAGGCAGGAAAATGGAGTTGAGGATTATCAGATCAACCATGACCTCATTGGTTTAGCAGACATGATGGGTGGAATAGCCTACTTCTATCTCATATGAACCTATAATCCTCATTTTTATTCCAATTGTAATAGGGATTAGTGAAACAGAATGTCACCCATTGCACCTTACAAAGTCAAGATCCCAGCCACTAGCTCTCATAAAAGTAACTGGTAACAATTCAGGAGCATTAAAGGTTAAACAATTCTGCCCAGGGCTGTTGTAACTCACCAGTTTCAGCTCTGTAATACTCCATCCAATCATTGACAATGTTCTTGATCTTTCTATGCAGCTGCCTCAGGTAGTGGATTGTGATTTCTGGAACAGCACGTGGAGTACTGATTGTTCTCTGCACACTGGACCGCGTCCTCAGAAACTATTCAGGCAGAAGGTAGGAAGAGCTTTTATTTGTCCAAACACTTTCCCTGTCCCCTTCATGTACCCCCTCACCTTCCCCCCCCTCCACCCTCACCTTCCCCCCTCTCCCCCCTCACATTCTCCCCTCCCCCCTTCTTCCTTGCTCCTTCTCCTCCCTCTCCCTCTCCTTTTTCCCTCTTCCACCCCTCCACATCTCCATCCGTATACCCGTCCCTATACCCCTCCACCCTTTCCCCCATCCCTTTTCTCCCTCTACCTATCTTCCCCCTCCCCTTCCTATTCCCCTTTCCTCCTTCTACCCCTCCCCTCCCATTTCCTCCCCCTCCCCTCACCTCCCCTCTGCCTCCCACCTTTACCCCCTCTTCTCCCTCACTATTCCCCCTCTCCTCTCACCTCAACCCCCTTACCCTCTCCCCCTTCCCTAGCCCCACCACCTGAACCTCCCTATACCCCCTCCCTTCCTCTCCTTCTCAACCTCCAGTCCTTACTCCATCCCTCTAAACCCTAAACTCCCTCTCCCCATTTGTCCCTCCGCCCCTCCCCCGACCGAGTCCCATGTGATATCACTGCACAGGGATGATGTCACCAGAGTGAGTTGCTGTCATGGGCATGAGAAACAGTGTGAGAGACAGTTCAGTGTGTGAGAGAGAGAATCAGAGAGAGAGAAGAGTGTGTGTGTGAAGGAAAAAATGAGAGAGAGATTGTGTGTGTGTTTGTGTGTGTGCATGAGAGAGTGTGTGTGTGAGAGACTGTGAGAAAGAGGGACAGAGTGAGGGAGAAAGAGAGAGATAATGTGAGAGAGAGTGTGTGTGATAGAGTGTAACAGAGAGGAGAGAGAGAGTGCAAGAAAGAGAATGAGAGTGTTAGAAAGAGAGAGCGCGCTCAAGAAAATGTGTGAGAAAGAACGTGTATGAGAGTACAAGAAAGAGAGAGTGCAACGAAAGAGACAGCCTGGGAGACAGAGAGTGTGCAAGAGAAAGAGGGACGGAGTGGGTGAGGAAGCTGAGGGTTGGAGTGTGCGTTTGAGTGTTAGTGAGTTTGTGTGAGAGAATGCAAGACATTGTCAATGAGTGTGTGAGTGAGTGTATGTGAGTGAGTGTGAGTGAGTATTTAGGGAAGGGATTGTGAGAGTGAGAGGGAGGCCAAACAAGGCACAATGTTGATAACTCCTGATCTATTGCTGATACAATGAGGTCTCGCTTTCAAATGTTTGAAAGAGAATCATCAGACTATTCACTGGGAGAAGAATTATGAATCACACATAACAAACTGTTATAAGGTCCTTGGAGTGGATAGCATCAAGAGGTTGAATGGCCTCCTTCAGTTCCTGCCGCCTGCAATATTTTGGCTCCAAGTCAGTCGAGAGCCTGAGAATGACATCCTCAATGGAAATACTGAACTAACCCACTCACAATAAGACGGATGTTAAAATATTGTCTGAATGCAATTGGTCTTTGAAGATAGGGCAGAACAGGAGGGGGTGTTGGTGCAATGAGAAAGGGGATGGGTTAGTGAGGAAGAGAGCCCAGTGAGAAACAAGTGGTGATATCTGTTACCAAGCAAGACCGATAGCCACCCCTCTGTCACAATCGTGGAGGGAAGGTACGTGCTTCCTGCTCAGTGGGAGATTTCACACACACTGATCTCCCCATTCTCTCTCTTGCTGCTCCAGTCGGTCATTACTTACTGATCCTGTTTTGGTGGACTTTCTGAAAGAATCTCTACTCCTATGCTTCGATCCTCTCATTCTCATAAGTAACCTGGCAGCTGCTGATGAAAATGTCGTATCTGTCTGTAGCTCTCCCTATAATATTGCATAATAAATATGGAACTCATTGGGTCTAAGATATTGAAAGACACTTCTCACATACATCTCAGTGTGGATCTAGTCTCATTGTTTATCATACGTTAGCACTTGGGCATTGGTCAAAAACACTAAAGTAATGCCTAGCAGTAAAAGGACTGTGTTGTTTTAAGAGGTCACAGAACAGTTGACCCTGTCAGACACTGTGATATCAGCTAGGATGTAATGAGTGCTAATGGCAAACAATTGGACTATTTCCAACTAAATGAGAGCATAAGCCAAGAATTGCTCTCCCGGTCTGTTTCCTGGTCTCCTGGTGACCTCTGACAATTAGAAGTGAGCCAACATTCACTGGATGTTCCATTGGCTGATTGGAAATCAGATGTAAATAACTGCATTTCTGATTAGTAAATAGGAAATGAGTAATAGTAACCGTTGTTGATCATGGAATCTCAATATTCATACTTACGTGGCAATGGCAAGTGAACTTTAACCTGTACGTGCAATTCTTGGTGAGACAAAAAGGTGAGAGTGTGTTTTATTTCCTTGATAAGTGGATGGTGGAGACACCTATTTAAGTAAATGTGTGCATGAATGTTGCATTACCCTCAGGAAGTCTAGGTTGTTGTGGCAACATGTACATCACTTACATATCATACTCCAGAGCTACAGACAGTGATAGTGGGGACTCTCCAGCTCTTACCGCCCACCAATGAACTGAGATTTAGAAGGTGACCCTCAGTCTGTATGTCTACATTATGAAAATGCCATCCTTAGCTATTGAATCCCCACTCTGAGGCAGGGATGCTACTCACTGTGCTTGTATACTGCTGAATAGAGAGACACAGGGGCTCTCTGATGCAGGAGTCATGTCCCTATCTCTGAGCCAGGAGATCTGGGTTCAGGTCCCGCCTGCTCCCAAGGTGTGTATTATCACATCTTGGAACAGGTTGATGAGAAACGATGCTGGAAAGAGAGACATGATGCTGAGGCGTTTCATTGTGACTCATCAGGCAAGAATGTCAAACTTCAACCAAACAATTTATACTGCAGGAGAAAAGGGTGCTGACTGGTTGACAGGTTGACTCTGATTGGCTGAAGTGTTGCCACGGAGAAAGCAACAGGAAACTATATGCTCCCAAAGGCCCTAGGTAATTAATAAAAGATGCTGTCTGTTTGAGTGGATTTCTTTTGACTGCAGGTAGTGGGTCCTTGTGTATAGATGTAAATCACTCGTAACAAACATAAACCAGTCACAATTTGAGTTGAACTGGTTATTGTAAATTGGTTGTTAGTGTAGCTATTATCACACTCAGGATTGTTTGTCGAGCACTGCAAAATCATGGCATCAAATCTAACATAGATGTCTTGCTTTGCCAGCATGGGCTGGTTGAGTATAGCTTGTATTCAGGTTATTATGAAGTGCCAAAGGAATGCTCTCATTACTTGGTCAGGTGATTGCTGACACAATAGGCCTACGAGATGTGAAATCCTTACATGTTGTTGTTGAATTGGCACACCATCCTCTTGAATTAGCAGCAGCTTCATATTAGTAACAGCGTGAAGCAGCTTGCTTTTCAACTTTGTCAGATGTTTCCTTTAAAGGGTATTTAAGGCTGATCTGGTAATTTCAACATTCTAAAGTGGAGTCTTTAGCATATTGGTGAGTTTGCGAGTGGTACATTGTCAGCAATGATCTGATCAGGCTAGCCATTGTCCCAAAGGACAGCTTTGATGCATTCTGTTTCTGCAAGATGGCTGCAATCTTGCACAAATCTATTTCCACAACTGCAGTTGAAACCAATCATTGCAGTGTGTGGATCCAAATTAATCCCAATGTGATCAGTAAATATCAGTTTGTGATAGACAATGGTGGAGAGCCCTTTGCTCCTACAGTATAAATTGTTATTGTTTGAAATTTAGTTTTCTTGCATTTGTCCTGACTCATCATGTCCCTCATTTGAGCAATATTCAAATTCTTACAACCATTTCCCAGTGTTAGAAATCACATGACACCAGGTGAAGGGGCTACCCTCTGATAGCTTGTGTTTTCAAATCAACCTCTTGGACTATATCCTGGCGTTGTGTGATTTCTAACCTTGTCCACCCCAGTCCAACACCGGCACCTCCACATCATGTTTTACCAGTGTTGTGTGAGATATTTTTGATTAAAGTTACCACATATAATAACTCACCCACAGTGACATTGTCAGTTATTTTTTACTGGACAACAGTAAACGATTAAAACATATCATTGGAGAGGTTGCTGATACATAAATTATGACTTTAGCAGGATAATTATGTGCAGATTTTGTATTAATCTTTTGGACAGAAACAGGTTGAGTGGACAAAGAATTTACTTCAGCCACCTCACTGACTCTGTGCGATAACTGTTCAAGTTCTATTATCCCCTTGTTCAGAAACTGCTGGTCCTTCACAGCAGAGTATTTATTACACTGAGTTGTTGAACTAATCAGATTAAAATGGGTCAGCCTTAAACTAAAGGAGACTGGGCAAATGGCTACATCTATTTCTTGCTTTTGTTCCACGTTTGGATTTTATTTCTTCATTCACAGGATAGAGGCGTCACTGGTTAGGCCTGCATTTACTGCCCATCCCTGACTGCCCTGGTAAGGATGGCTATTTTCTTCTCTAAAGGATATTAGTGAACTATTAGATAATGCATCCTTTTATTCTGTGAATAAACCGTGTAGTTTAACAATAGCACACATATGGTAATGACTGACACACAGTACGGCCAATGCCTCAATCTTTGCTGTACTGAACACAATCCACATTTGGTGGCCTTAACACTTTTACAATGTGGATCATGGGAGATGGTAATGTAGTGGCATTGTCACTGGTCTAGTGTTCCAAATGTCCTGCCTAATGCTCTGGTTCAATTCTAGCAGATCTGCTGGCGGAATTTCAATTCAGTTCATAAACCTGGACATGAACTGTTTTCAAATGTCATAAGAAAAGACCTATCTGGTTCACTAATGTCCTTGAGGGAGGGAAATCTCCCATCCTTACCTGGTCTGGCCTACATGTGAGTCCAAACCCACAGCAACATGGCTGACTCTCAAGTGCCCTCTGAAATGGCTGAGTGAGCCACTCAATTCAAGGGCAATTAGGGACTGGCAATAAGTGCTGGCCCAGCCACATCCTATGAAAGTAATGTTGGAAAAAAATTCAGATCATGAGACAGATTCCAGAATGTTTTGCAGCCAATGAAGTGTGATCACTGTTGAAATACAGGAAATGTAGCACCTAATTCGAGCATGGCAGGATCCCATAATGTCTTGATGATAGTGGCTCTGGGGTATTAATTGACCAGGACAGTGGGGAAGACGCCTCTGCCCTTCTCTAAAATTTTTGATTTGATTTGATTTATTATTGTCACTTTTACCGAGGTACAGTGAAAAGTTTTGCTTTGCATGCAGTACAGGCAGATCATTCCATACAAAGTGTATTTGGGTAGTAGAACAGGGCGAGGAATACAATGTTACAGCTGCAGAGAAGGTGCATAGAGAATGGGATCAACATTAAATTTAAAATTTAAGAAGTCCATTCAGAAGTCTAATGACAGCAGGGAAGAAGCTGTTCTTGAATCTGTTGGTACGTGTATTTAAGCTTTTGTATCTTCTGATGGCATCGGATCTTTTACACACAGCTGGGAGGGCTGAAGGGAGGTTGAGTGCTGATAGTGCAGCACTCCCACAGCACTACGCAGTAACATCGACCTGTGTTTTTGTGGAGTGGATTGCAAACACATTGACCCCTATCAGGACATGCCTGAGAGTGGATGCTAGGCAAGCAAAACTTACTTATTAACCTCTCGCCTCTCAGATTGTCACCCCTGCAGGTTTCCCTGGGACAACAGAAATCAGAGACAACAAGGTGCAGGGCTGGATGAACACAGCAGGTCAAGCAGCATCATAGGAGCAGAAAGGCTGACGTTTCGGGCCAAGACCCTTCATCAGAAAAGGGGGAGGGAAAGGGGGTTCTGAAATAAATAGGGAGAGAGTGGGAGGCGGATAGAAGATGGAAAGAGGAGAGGATAGGTGGAGAGGAAACAAACAGGTCGAAGAGGCGGGGATGGGGCCAGTAAAGGTGAGTGTAGGTGGGGAGTTAGGGAGGGGATAGGTCAGTCCAGGGAGGACGGACAGGTCAAGGGGGCGGGATGAGGTTAGTCGGTAGGAGATGGAGGTGCGGCTTGAGGTGGGAGGAGGGGATAGGTGGGAGGAAGAACAGGTTAGGGAGGCAGGGATGAGCTGGACTGGTTTTGGGATGCGGTAGGGGGAGGGGAGATTTTGAAACTTGTGAAATCCACATTGATACCATTGGGCTGCAGGGTTCCCAAGCGGAATATGAGTTGCTGTTCCTGCAACCTTCGGGTGGCATCGTTGTGGCACTGCAGGAGGCCCAGGATGGACATGTCGTCTGAGGAATGGGAGGGGGAGTTGAAATGGTTCGCGACTGGGAGGTGCAGTTGTTTATTGCGAACCGAGCGTAGGTGTTCTGCAAAGCGGTCCCCGAGCCTCCGCTTGGTTTCCCCGATGTAGAGGAAGCCACACCGGGTACAGCGGATGCAGTATACCACATTGGCAGATGTGCAGGTGAATATCTGCTTGATGTGGAAAGTCTTCTTGTGGCCTGGGATAGGGGTGAGGGAGGAGGTATGGGGGCAGGTGTAGCACTTCCTGCGGTTGCAGGGAAAAGTGCTGGGTGTGGTGGAGCTGGAGGGGAGTGTGGAGTGGACAAGGGAGTCACGGAGAGAGTGGTCCCTCCAGAAAGCAGATAGGGGTGGGGAGGGAAAGATGTCTTTGGTGGTGGGGTCGGATTGCAGATGGCGGAAGTGTCGGAGGATGATGCGTTGGATCCGGAGGTTGGTGGGGTGGTACGTGAGGACGAGGGGGATTCGTTTTTGGTTCTTATTGCGTGGACGGGGTGTGAGGGATGAGGTGCGGGAGATGTGGGAGACACGGTTGAGGGCGTTCTCGACCACTGAGGGGGGGAAGTTACGGTCCTTGAAAAACGAGGACAACTGAGATGCACGGGAGTGGAATGCCTCATCCTGGGAGCAGATGCGGCGGAGGTGAAGGAATTGGGAATAGGGGATAGCATTTTTGCAGGAAGGTGGGTGGGAGGAGGAGTATTCTAGGTAGCTGTGGGAGTCAGTGGGCTTGAAATGAATATCGGTTTCTAGGTGGTTGCCCGATATGGAGACAGAGAGGTCCAGGAAGGGGAGAGAGGTGTTAGAGATGGTCCAGGTAAACTTAAGGTTGGGGTGGAAGGTGTTAGTGAAGTGGATGAACTGTTCGAGCTCCTCGTGGGAGCACGAGGCGGCGCCGATACAGTCATCAATGTAACGGAGGAAGAGGTGGGGTTTAGGGCCGGTGTAGGTACGGAAGAGGGATTGTTCCATGTAACCTGCAAAGAGGCAGGCGTAGCTTGGGCCCATGCGGGTGCCCATGGCTACCCCCTTTGTCTGTAGGAAGTGGGAGGAATTGAAAGAGAAGTTGTTGAGGGTGAGGACGAGTTCGGCTAAGCGGATGAGGGTGTCAGTGGAGGGGGACTGGTCAGGCCTGCGGGACAGGAAGAAGCGGAGGGCCTTAAGGCCATCTACATGGGGAATGCAGGTGTAGAGGGACTGGACGTCCATGGTAAAGATGAGGTGTTGGGGACTGGGGAATTGGAAGTTCTGGAGGAGGTGGAGGGCGTGGGTGGTGTCACGGACATAGGTAGGGAGTTCCTGGACCAAGGAGGAGAAAATGGAGTCCAGATAGTTGGAGATCAGTTCGGTGGGGCAGGAGCAGGCGGAGACAATGGGTCGACCAGGGCATTCAGGTTTGTGGATTTTGGGAAGGAGATAGAAGCGGGCAGTGCGAGGTTGGGGAACGATGAGGTTGGAGGCCGTGGGTGGGAGGTCACCTGAGGTGATGAGGTTGTGGATGCTTTGGGAGATGATGGTTTGGTGCTCAGGGGTGGGGTCATGATCAAGGGGATGGTAGGAGGAGGTGTCGGAGAGTTGACTTCTGGCCTTGGCGATGTAGATGTCAGTGCGCCATACTACAACTGCGCCTCTCTTGTCTGCGGGCTTTATGGTGAGGTTGGGATTGGAGCGGAGGGCTGCACGTTCTGCGGTGGAGAGGTTGGAGTGGGTGAGAGGGGTGGAGAGGTTGAGGCGATTGATGTCTCGACGGCAGTTGGAAATGAAGAGGTCAAGGGAGGGTAGGAGGCCTTGGGGTGGTGTCCAGGAGGAGGGGGTGTGTTGGAAGCGGGAGAAGGGGTCAGTAGAGGGAGGGTTAGGCTCACGGTTGAAGAAGTAAGCGTGGAGGCGGAGGCGGTGGAAAAACTGCTCTATGTCCAAGCCCACACCCGGCACTTTTCCCTGCAACCGCAGGAAGTGCTACACCTGCCCCCATACCTCCTCCCTCACCCCTATCCCAGGCCACAAGAAGACTTTCCACATCAAGCAGATGTTCACCTGCACATCTGCCAATGTGGTATACTGCATCCGCTGTACCCGGTGTGGCTTCCTCTACATCGGGGAAACCAAGCGGAGGCTCGGGGACCGCTTTGCAGAACACCTACGCTCGGTTCGCAATAAACAACTGCACCTCCCAGTCGCGAACCATTTCAACTCCCCCTCCCATTCCTCAGACGACACGTCCATCCTGGGCCTCCTGCAGTGCCACAACGATGCCACCCGAAGGTTGCAGGAACAGCAACTCATATTCCGCTTGGGAACCCTGCAGCCCAATGGTATCAATGTGGATTTCACAAGTTTCAAAATCTCCCCTCCCACTACCGCATCTCAAAACCAGTCCAGCTCGTCCCTGCCTCCCTAACCTGTTCTTCCGCCCACCTATCCCCTCCTCCCACCTCAAGCCGCACCTCCATCTCCTACCGACTAACCTCATCCCGCCCCCTTGACCTGTCCGTCCTCCCTGGACTGACCTATCCCCTCCCTAACTCCCCACCTACACTCACTTTTACTGGCCCCATCCCCACCTCTTCGACCTGTTTGTTTCCTCTCCACCTATCCTCTCCTCTTTCCATCTTCTATCTGCCTCCCACTCTCTCCCTATTTATTTCAGAACCCCCTTTCCCTCCCCCTTTTCTGATGAAGGGTCTAGGACCGAAACGTCAGCCTCTCTGCTCCTATGATGCTGCTTGACCTGCTGTGTTCATCCAGCCCTGCACCTTGTTGTCTCGGATTCTCCAGCATCTGCAGTTCCTACTATCTCTGATTCAACAGAAATCAGAGCCTACTTAAACCAATCAGTCAGAGAAAATCAATGGCGGAGATGTTAAAACATAAATGTAGATATGTTTCTTCCTTAAACACTGTTGTTTATTCATTCTACACTGGAAGAGAGGCTCATTGGATGGTTTAGGCTGTTGGGCATTGAGGACCACATGATGGAACCACCACTGAGACAGAAGAAAAACCATTTTTTAAAAAAAGGAATAATTGGAAAAGAACGTACATTTTGAAGTAAACAAGACAAGACAGACCAATGTGTCTCATTCACAAGTCTTACAAAAGGAAAAGCCTAACTGCATCAGAATTGACATTCCTGCATCCGTCAATAATGTTTTCTTCCAATTAAATGTGTCTGGAATCGAGTTACAGATCGGCCATGATCTCATGCGATGGTGCACAGTCTGGAGGGGCCAAATAGCCTCCCCGTCCTCTGATGTTCCTTTAATAATGCTGACTGTTTATTTGACGGTTGGTGAAGCTGGTCGTTGAGAAGCAGAGGAGTTGGTCTGGGCCATTACTAATCAGCACTTACCAATTCATCAGGCCGAGGGGGAATGACATCTGGCAAGGGGGAGAGAGAGAAGCGAATGGTCTCGTACTGCCATTTGAAGGTGAAGTGGATGGAAAACTGTCCAATAATCCGGATGGTGATGCAGTCATTAACCTGCAGACATGGAACACCAGGTCACACAGCTACAACTGATATTTGTAACAACAAGCTCAGTTAGGGTCGGAGGTCAGATCACATCAACTGGCGTGTTTGTTTTTCAGAGAGGTGAGAAGTGATCTAATCGAAGGCCTTCAGATGATTTCAGGGGATTTAATAAGAATCCTCAATGTTTGCCTGGCCTGAAAAGTGAGCAGGAGGAGGATTTTCAAATGGGAAACCTGTAAGTAAAGTTACAAAAGGACCAAGGAAATAGGAGTAGGTCATTCAGCTCCTTGAGTCTGCTCTGCCAGTCAATAAAATGACGACTAATCTGATTAGGCCTTAACTCTATCTTCCTGGACTCCCATGTTAATCAACATTCTGTCTAATCCAACACTGAATACAGTCAATGACGCAGTCTCCACTGCTCCCTCCCTAGGATAGAGATTTCCAAAGGTTAAGAATTCTCTGAGGGAGGAAATGCTTCTTAATCTGTTTAAAGTGAGAGACACCTTACTTTGAAGCTGTGCCTGTCAACTCAGTCCACAAGGGGAAATGTTCTCTCAGAATCTACTCTGTCAAATCCCCTCAGGGTTTTAAAGCTTCAATGAGATCATCCCTCATTCTCCTAAACTCCAATGAATACAGGAAAAAAAACTGCTCAACCTTCCCTCAGAAGATTGACCCCCTTTATGCCAGGAATGAACGTTATGTAAATTCTCTAGGAAAAATACATCCCTTCTTAATGAGGTAACACAGTGTGGATCTGGAGGAACACAGCAGGCCAAGCAGCATCAGAGGAGCAGGAAAGTTGATGTTTTGGGTCAGGACCCTTCTTCAGTTCTTACTATCCCTTCTTAAAGAAGCTGTGTACAATACTCTGTGCCCTGTCCAGTTGCAGCAAGACTCCACAACATTTATGTTTTATCCTCTTTTGCAAGAGAGGCCAACATTCCATTTGCCTCCTCCTCATCCTCCCCCAATCTCCTCCTCCTCCCCCTCTTCCTCCCAGTTTCCTTTTTTCCCCTCAGCTCCCCCTTACACTCAATCTTTATAAATGTGAACATAGTAACAGTTTTGGAGACCATGTGACCAAAGGTCATGTGATTAGGTGTCACATGACCAAGCCTCCATGCCTTCAAGGGGAGTTGTTGACTTGCTGATGGCCGTACTTGCCACACGAGCTCTTTGGAGAAGCACTGACCTCCCCACAGGCCGCAGTATTAATGTTTCAGAGCTCAGATCCTGTGGGCACTAACCTTGATCCAAACTGGTTCAGGCAGTTTCCCCCTCCTTGGCCACTGCCAACTTTTCAGTGTCATTTTGTCTTCATCAATCATCAGTCCGCCCTCCTCATTGAACTGCAACACGATTTTCCTCCTGATAACAACATCATGATGTGCAATCAGACACAATCAGTCTTCTACCTTAGAATCAGAAAGCACAGGCCGCTCCGCCCATTGCTGGAAGGGGGATAGGATGGCGCTAAGGAAGGGAGAGTGTAAGGTCAAATACTGATGGAATCTTGTGCTCACTACTTGGGGGGTTGAGTCTAATAATGGGGTGGGGCATTTAATCAGGAAAGAGGAGGCAGAGGGCAAAATTCTTCACGAAAATTGAGCTGGAGCTCAAGCCAGGGTGAAAGGGTTAAATGACGAGGACAATTTGCATTGACTGCATTAAAGGGGAATGGTGGCACAGTGATCACAACAATGACCCCGAGTAATGGTGTAGGAACATGGAGTCAATACCTACCATAGGAGCTGGTGAGATTTAAATTCAATTGCTAAACCTGGAGCATAATGGCAATTATTAATTGATTGTCTTAAAAAAAATCTCTCTGGTCCCTGACAGGGGGTTGGTCTTACCTGGTCTGGCCTACAGGTGATCCAGACCCACAGCAATGTGGTTGACTCTTAACCAACCTCTCAAGGAGCCCAGAAAGCCCCTTCCTTCAAGGGCAGCTAGGGGAGGGCAATAAAGGCTGGCCTAGCTTGCTTTCCCACTGATCTTCATGTAATCAAATGTGGAACTCTGCTCTATCCAAACTGAAAAAGACCTACTGTCATACCTACTTTCTACTTTCTGTTAGCCAGCCAATCTTCGATCCAGGCTAACGTATGACCTCCTAGATCATGAGGTTCTATTTTTCACAGTAACATTTGATGACGAGCTTTATCAAATGGATAAATCTATGTGTGGACAGGGAAACTTGGTGCTAGCTGTTAGTCCCATTGACTCCATTGAAAGTGAGGAAGAGCCAGTGAGCAGTTGAGAAGGGACAATGGCAACTTATCGAGAGCAAGGGCTTACATTTATACGACATCCTCCACACCTTCAGGATCTCCCAAACAACTGATGAATTGTTTTGAAGCCTAGTTTTGTTGGAAATCGTGACAGCCAATACCTACATGGTAAATTTTCACAACCAGCAATCTGCAAATTGTCAGATCATCTTTTTGGAGATGTTCACTGGAGGATCAATCTTGGACAGGATCCCTTCTGCCTCAGATCTTCTTTGAAGAGCAACTACCAGGATCTCACACCCACTTTGACAATGGGATAGGAGCAGTGTTTTTAAAGAATTCCTGACCACTTAATATCACAAAATACAGCCAATCTGGTAGTTTTGAAAGTGCACAAATTTGCACAGTTAATCTGGTTTGTGACGTTAGTTCAGGATGACTATTGGCCAGATTACAGAGTGACACCCATCCATTTCTTGAAAATAGTACCTTAGAAATATTTACATATACCACACAAGACCAGTTTAACATCTCATCTGCAAAACAATATGTCTGACAGTGTAGCACTTTCTCAGTGCTGACCCTCCGACAGTGCAGCACTACCTTAGTACTGACCTTCTGACAGTGCAGCACTCCCTCAGTACTGACCCTCCGACAGTGCGGCACTCCCTCAGTACTGACCCTCTGACAGTGCAGCACTCCCTCAGTGCTGACCCTCCAACAGTGCAGCACTCCCTCAGCATTGACCCTCTGACAATGAGGCACTCCCTTAGTACTGACCCTCTCACAGTGCGGAACTGCCTCAGCACTGACCGTCCAACAGCGCGGCACTCCAACAGTACTGACCCTCCAACAGTGTGGCACTCCCTCAGCACTGACCCTCCAATAGTGCGGCACTCCCTCAGCACTGACCCTCTGACAATACGGCACTCCCTCCGTACTGACCCTCTGGCAGTGTGGCACGCCCTTAGTACTGACCCTTGGACAGTGCGGCACTTCCTCAGTACTGACCCTCTGACAGTCCGGCACTCCCTCAGTATGTCACTGGAATATCAATCTGGAGGTGAGTGAGGTGGGAATGATGGGGCAGTGCAGGTGAGTGAAGTGGGAATGATGGGGCACTGGAATATCACTCCCATCTCACTCACCTCCACTGCCCCATCATTTCCGCCTCACTCACCTCCACTGTCCCATCATTCCCACCTCACCAGAGTGACTGCGACAGACAGCGATATTACCCGAAGGGTAACTGCA